GCACCTCGGGTGCAGTGGATGTCATCATGGGACCGCTCCTCAACTATAGACGTACAAGCAACCAGCAGGCCGGGCAGCCTGTCTGGCACGGCAGTGTCCTCATCGTCGCCACGCCCGGACAACAGAACCCGAACGAGGCACAGCCAAACCCCCAGCTCACACTCTTCCCGGCTGGCGCAGTCGACAAGAATATGGGTGACGTGAGGTTCAGCGTGGAAGCGCGCGACTTTCACGGAGAGAAGCTATACGAGGATAGCAAGAGGGCCTTCTGGCGCTTCAGGATCGATGCTCCCATGCAGCCATTCGAATCAAGATGGCGTTACGAGATCCAGAACCTCAGATACACCGACACCATGAAGGAGGAGAAGCCCCAGAACTTCGTCATACCCTCAATCACACAGTCGATGCGCATTATGTTCCATTCTTGCAACGGCTTCAGTGTTGGCACCGACATGGACGTCTGGTCCGGACCTGTGCTGTGGAACGATGTCCTCCGAATGCACGAGCAGCGACCCTTCCACGTCATGCTTGGAGGAGGCGACCAGATCTACAACGACGGAGTGCGAGTCGACGGACCGCTCAAGCCCTGGACCGACATACACAGCCCTCATAAGCGACGGGAGTTCCCTTTCGGCCAGCAGATGCGTGCCGACTGCGACGAGTACTACTACAACAACTACGTCAAGTGGTATGGTCACAAGCCTTTCTCCACTGCCAACAGCCAGATCCCTCAGGTCAACATCTGGGACGACCACGACATCATCGATGGCTTCGGTTCCTACACCGACCACTTCATGAACTGCGCTGTCTTCAGAGGCATTGGCGGTGTTGCGCACAAGTACTACCTCCTCTTCCAGCACCACCTTGCTCCTCCAAAGAGTACCTATACAACCGACGCGCCCCAGACGACCAATGTAACAGGCCAGGGAGAAGGCACAACACCCGCCGATCCGGTGCAGGTGGACAGCACCTTCGTTATGACCAACGATGAGGGCGACCCATCGTACCTTATCGGCTCGAAGCCCGGCCCGTATGTCGAGGAACGCAGTCGCAGCATTTACTGCCAGCTCGGTGCACGCATTGCCTTTGCTGGTATTGATGCACGAACAGAGCGCACGAGACATCAGGTCAACTACCCCGAGACTTACAAGATGCTCTTCGATCGTCTCGACGCCGAATTCACCGCGAACCCAGAACTCAAGCACATGATCTTGCTGCTCGGTGTACCCATCGCCTACCCTCGCTTGATCTGGCTTGAGAACATTCTGCAGTCGCCGTTGATCGCACCCATCAAGTTCCTGAACAAGCGCTTTGGCTTCGCTGGAGGCTTCTTCAACCAGTTCGATGGCAAGGTCGATTTGCTCGATGACTTGGACGACCACTACACCGCGCGTCAGCACAAGGAGGAGCGCCGCAACCTCATGCACAGCCTGCAGGCATTCTCCAAGAAGTTCTCCGCCCGCGTCACCATTCTTGGAGGAGATGTACATCTTGGAGCCATTGGTCGTTTCTACACCAACCCCAAGACACACCAGATTCCCGCAGAAGCTGACCACCGCTACATGCCCAACATCATTAGCTCCGCCATCACCAACAAGCCCCCACCACAAGCTGTCGCGAACTTGCTGGCCCGCCGAAACAAGATCCATCACCTCGACAAGGAGACCGATGAGACGCTCCTCGAAATCTTCGACCGCGACCCAGCTCTCCCCGGAGGCGTCAACGCGACAAACGGCAGCTCCACCGCCCAGATCGAGGGCGATGGCAAAGACGGAAAGATCGAACCCAAGACCTCCGCCGCGAATCACGCAACGATGCCGTCGCGCAACTACGCCATCATCTGCGAATCCGCGATCCCCACCCCCTCCACCCTCGGTGTACCTCCCGGCTCAGCGCCCTCCATCAACACGAACAACACCGCCGCGTCCAAGATCTCCGCTGCCCCCGGCAAGAAAGACAACATGCGTCTGGGTTTCCATCTCGGAGAGGAGAAGGCTGGTACTCAGCACCCGGCTGCTGGCGGTATCAACCCTTCAGGTCTTTGCGGACCGTATGGACTTGATGTTACACTTAGGGTGGAGATCAGCAACCAAGATCGTGAGGGCAGGACTGATGGCTACGGCTTCAGCATCCCCGCGCTGGATTGCTCAGCTTATGCTGATCGTGGCGAGAAGTGGTAGACTATACCTATGAGGTGGATGCTTGGGACGTCGGACAGAGAAGGTCTCAAGCGGTAGATGAAGGGAGGTTGTCGTGGTGGAAGATACTGGATGATTTCATTTTGCTTTCTTGTTTTGGTTTATACCCTCGAAAGTTGCTTGGCATAGAGCAATCATGTGTAGTAGTTAATTAGTCGCTAGTCTGTAATGTTATCCCATCATTGGGTTGGTACAACAAAAGTCCCCTTGTCTATGGAGAGTCCTATGATGGCGAGGGCATCAGTTTCTGCACTTACAGCCCCACTCGAGCATGTCGGAGTTTCGCGAATTGAATGGTATCTATTGCGCTCGCAAAAAAGTTTGGTTCGCAAACACTGCTGTTTATGTACATGATATATGAATGATTGGACTTTTGAAGAATGTCAGAAACAAACGGAGGGAAAGCAGTGGCATACAGTCGTAACAGAAGAAAGCAAAGCAAGGAAAGTTGTCGTCACCAGGAAAACGAGTGTTGAAGACCACGTGGCTCCTCTGTGGAGGGCTTGCGGAGCGAAGCAAAAAGCGCCAAGAGTTGAGCAGCTTCCATCCCACCTGTCTCTTGCCAGAATGTGGACGATGAAGCTTGCTGCATAGCAAGCTCATAGCAGGTATCGAGGAGAGCATTCGTGTTCTCCGGTGAATCCTTGATTCTCACCTTCATCGCAACGGCCATGGCAAGGAAGACATGGAAGCGCGCCATCGACATGGATGCGGAGATTTCGACTGCAGGTCGCTGAGTGTTTGGGTAGACAGACTCGCAGAACCGAGAAAAGAGACCAGGAGAGATGGAGTAAGCTTGGTAGTCCAAGGACTCGATGTGTTGTACGAATTCAGTGGTCAGAGTCTCCGCTTCGAAGCGACTAGGAATTGGCGTAGTAACAATTGCGCGACTGCGATCGGTGAAGCTTGATCGTGACGAAGCTGGGCCAGGACTTTCAGTATGGCGGGCTGCGAATATGCCTTGGCGAGGCAACCGCGGCGCTGGCGCCAACGGAAGGATGTCATCTTCAACTTCCGGGATCGGCGACATGGCTTGCTCATTGCTAGCCTGAGACTGGGACGAGGTCGAAGTCTTGCGAGAGTGGGCCCGACTGCTGGTAGTACCCGGTTGTAACTGACTGCTACTTGCTTGAGCCATGAACTCCCAAGAAGGCGCCGTATGCGGTTCGATCGACGACGGCATGGGTTTACTCATCGATGGGTATGTCGTACCGAACTGCGGCAGCGCGGACCCGGGTGGCATGGAATCGGGTGACGAGGCACGCGTGGTACCTAACCATAATGAAGGTACTGGTGAAGACGGCGTGGAGAAGTTGGGGAAAGGCTCACATTCATCTATGGCGATAGAGGGCATGCTGCCACTCCTAGCCGAGAAGGAGCCGAGATCCAGGTCATCGGCTGTGAAGGTTGCCGGTATGGTGGTATCGAGGTTGAGGTGGGGCGAAGGTCCTTGCCAGTCGAACGATGTGGGTGTGCTAGCCATAAGGTTCTGGTCGATAGATTCCATACCGTGCATGGGCGCATTGACATGTCTGGCTAGCTGTGCCTCGAGCTGATGTATTCGTCCCTCTAGCGCTTCGCGATGTTCACTTCATCTTGATCAGAACACGACATCATGTGACCACGCGATGACGCGTCTGAACGGGTGCGGGCACTCACGATGCAACAACTTCTTTTGGTTTTTGTGTTCTCACGCATTGTATTGCAAAACGTTTACACGTCGAGCAAGGCGTCTCGCCGTCGCATCGAATCTTCCTGCGTCGGCATCGCTCGCAGGCGTTGGAGACGGACTTTCGCCTAGGCTGCCAGTCCTTGACAGCACTTGGAGAGAAGCGAGCTGGACCTTCGCCAGCGGGCAATGAAGCTTTTGTCATTAGCGATATCACGGAGGGATATAGGTGCCAAGCTTACTGAAGGGGCACATGCTGGAGGGGAATGTTGAGGATTCCGCGTCGGATACTGAGGCTTCCGAAGATTTGGGTGCAGATGGGGACAATAAGCAGCTGACGATCGCAAGACGGAGGCGTGGGAAAGAAAGCCATGGCGGAGGACGAGATCTCAGTTTGTTTTACGTCCCGTTGCCTGTCGCGGTGACAGACTGAACGCGGTTGAGTAATCGGGTAGACCTGCCCTGATGTTCTGCCGACACACTTTCCTGACACTCTGGCCCTCACCATGACTTGCAACACGCCCGCAAGGCTCCCTGCACGTCTCGACTCCTCATAGGTGCGGACGTGCGACGAGACATGGTTATGCATGTCGCATCGACTTTCCCTCCGCTTTCGACCTTCTAGAAGAGCGTCTACCAGGTGACAGGGCTAAAGGGCGGGCACGCGGCCGCACTCCGCGTTTGCAGCATAAGTGTCGCACAGCCCCCCAGAAGTTCCCACCGGTAAATCCTTCGGACACGTAAAAGAGCGGAATCCGCGGTCCATTTTCCGCTATCTTGTCACATCGCATTGTGAAGCACGGAGAATTATAGAATCTTGTCGACGGCTTCTCCTCAGAGCCATAATGGACCCTCTTGACCACAAAGTCCGGTTGTCAAAATCATCCGCGGCTGCCCAAGCAGCTGACAACTGCCGAGAACTCGAAACAACGTTTTTCTTTCGTCGCATCAAGTCCTTGGCACACGGGAAGCTCACAATCAGATGAGTCGAGGAGCGTCGTCGTAGGCGCCATGCGGCACAGGTGACGCGTACACAGTCAGCGCCTGGAACGTCGCATCAAGGTCACTCCCATTGATGCTATCGCATTCGCATTGCACTATCTACAGGATCGGCGAGGAAAGCTACAGCCCGACTATGCGCGACACAACGGACCGTCCGTCGATTGGACACCAGCGCCGATGATACCATTATCATCGATGGTCCAGCCCTCAGTACCAACCCCGTGGTGCACGTAGAAGAGCATGTCAGGGTCATACTTCTTTTTGATCTGCTGGAGCCTCGGGTAATTTGAGCCCCAGAAAGATTGCTGCCAGTTGGGCTCGGCGATGTCGGCCTCATTTCCATACGCGCCGCCAGTGGGCGACACTTCACGAAGAGGAGCCATGACCTGAGTGGTGATCTTTTCGACGGCGGCCTGCCATCCCGCGGCGGTTTCCTCAGCGACAGAATTGATGATGACCATCTGGCTCTCTTCGTTTCGGAACGCAGGATTGACGGAGTTGATGTCCTTGTTGTCCTGTTCGACGGGGCGCTGATGGTACATGTTGATCATGACGGCGGTCTCGACGACGTGCTGGATGGCGATGATCGTTTGGTTGCGTATCTCAGCGTTCTCCCAATTGTCGGATGTCAACAAACGGTTTGACGCAATACCGGTAGCGGCACCGATATGATAGTTGAATGTACCGAATGTGGCCTTGTAGGCAGGGTAGAAGCTGTCGTGGTAGGTTGTCTTGGGATTGAGCTCAATACCAAGTGAGGCGCACTTTTCGTAAAAGGGCTTGATGAGAGCCTCGTACTCCTCGACAGTCTTGTCCGTGGCAAAGAAAGGACCCATCGACCACATATACGTGCCTGGTGCGAGCTTCATGAGAGAGAAGTAAGAGTATGTTTTCGCGCGGTTGTAGGCGGGCATGTTGTCGAAGAAGAACCTAAACGCCTCCCAGAACTTTTCGGCAGTAACAGTTTCGGATGTCATGATGGTCCAGGAGGACTGAGTGACTGGAACCTTGCGGTGGACCTTCACTACAGCAGAGGTGATCACGCCGTAGGTACCGCCACCGCCGCCAAGCATAGCCCAATACAGATCACCGTTGATCTCCGGAGTAACGGTAACGAACCGGCCACTGGCAAGGACAACTTCGAGAGCGACGATCTGATCTGAGCCGACACCAAACAACTGCATCAGGGGACTATGGCCACCGCCCGTGGAGTAGCCACCAAATACACCGACGGTCGGACAGATACCAGCGATGGCAGAGACACCATACTTATCAGCAGCCTCATAGAGCTCGAAGCCTTGAACGCCCGCGCCGACTTTGAAGACTGGTCCGTTGTACGTGGAGCTTTTGTAGTCTTTGACATACTTGATCTCCTTGAGGCCATGAGTCCAGATGCTGAGCGCCCCCTTGCCAACCGAGCGACCGTTATAGTCATGTCCAGTGTTGCGCACGACCAAGCGAAGGTTCAGGGTACGAGCAAAGTTGACAGCCAGCTGAATTTGCGCAACGCTGCTAACTTTCACTGCGTATTCTGAGTATCCTCCCTGGGTGCAAGTGCCATTGGCGAAATTGCCTGTAGTAGGAATGGGGCATGTCATTCCATACCACAGGGGATTCATCAGCGCACCATTGTCGTTGTAGCTACTCCTGTCAGTCTAAGTGCCATTGTGCTCACAAGTATCATCACTTACTAAATCTCCTCCGCATCGAAATTCTCGACGAGGTCTGCGCACTTTGCGGCGTCGTAGTTGTTGTACTCGGACGTCTTGTAGCAAGAAGAGCCTATAGGTACGATCTTCTCTAAAGCACCACCGAGTAGGAGATCGAACACCCCCCACAAAAGCTTTCCTGGATACAGAAGATCGCCAGGCATGGTCTTGCATCGGAGTGATCGTCGCGCACGGCGAGTACGCGCAGACAAGCTGGAATTGGAGCTGTCCTCAAACTCGAAGAGGGAAGCATACTCAGCAAGCTCTGGGCTCTGTTGCATCGAGGAGACAACATCGTCAGTCAGCTGTACGGCTTCGACTCCAAAAAGAGCGAGTTTGGCAGGCGTGACATAGGTAGCGAGCGTCTCAGCAGCAGGTGGGACGGAAAATGCGAGTGTGGCGCTCTGTGCCGCCGTGAAACCGGCATAGGCCAAGGAGAACGTTATGGACCTCGCCAACATGTTGGAAGACGAACCTTGCAGTTGAAACGGAAGTAGTAGCGGCTGGTTGAAGAGTCCTTGGCTGCCACGTTCCTGTACCGAACGCAAGGTTTTATACGAATCTCCTCATAACGCACAGGTGGCAGCGCATCAGTAATCTTAGTCGAGCCTATTTGCCGCTCACTCGGGGACTATCTTCCCACTTGAGCATCGGCAAGAAAAAGTGGGGTGAGATACGGCGAGGCCATCTCGTCTAGAGTCTAAAGTTGGTATGGGATTTCATCCTGTGCACCCGCCCAGAGAAATCGAAGGCGCGAAGGATGGTAATTCCAATCTCGCGCCCACGCCTCATCCGTACAGCTCATGCGCTTTTTATTAAGGAGCGAAGAGGGTCTAGACTTCCACGACCATGAACATGTCACGTTGGCTGAGTCGCGGTTAGTTGTTCCGCGGCGATCACACCATTTGGGGTTGGACATTCGAATAGGCTTCACCAGCCGTTAAATCGAGGTACGGACCGCTAAGGAGGCGTCCCGCGCATCCGCCTCTGCTTTGGAGCGGATGCACCGTGCGTAGGTTCCTGGAGAAGATTCCGGATCAGGCAGCTAGTGGGGCACCTGCCGAGCATGGTACTAGACAGGGCTCTGCATGTGTAGAGCGGATCCATAGCTGTGCCTCAACACCTTGAACGGGTCTCTAATCAATTTGTATGGCTTCTACTAGGCCCTGAATCTCTATGAACTGTGAAGATGCTTACATACTGCGCTACACATTTCCAAGGTTGTCTCCAAGGATAAATGGCTAGATAAATATGGGAGAGGCGGTGCCGATAGAGATCTTTGCAGGCTGTCGTAGGGATTATTGGAGGATTTTGCCATCCCGTGGGGAGGATCGATTGGAGCCACAATATGCAAGGGTCTTCAAAGCCGAGTCTCGAGGTACTCACATTCTCGGAGGCTGTGTCCCAGTCGCATAGTTCTGCGGCTGCGCAAAGTATGTTCCATCAGGACTAGCCGTCTTGCATGTGCTTCCACGTCGGTTCCATCGCCTTGGGTGTCCTTTTCGGACGAACGACGGTTTTGTCACTTTACACTTGCTATATGATTGGTTCGTAAGGGACGGGACGTGGCGCGCAACACGGGAGATGAAATCTTCGCTTCCATGTGCGAGACTCGTTTACTCAGATAGTTTTCAGGTTTGCAGCGTTACCAGTATCTTGGGAAAGGAACGCAACATCCTCGGCATGCTGTTGAGCGGGCTGAATCCTATTCGAACACGGTCTCAATGTTGAACGCTGTCAAGTCCGCGGGTTATATAAAGACTTCACGAGTATCACTTTTCGTGTGACTTCGACCGAGTTGTTTTCGAATTGAACGCCAATCTGAATTCCCATCATGGCAGTACCCGCTTTTCCTGCACCAGACATGTCTGGTATTGATCCAGGACTTCAACCTACGCTCATCGCATTATTATACCTCTTCCCAGGACTTGCTCTTGCGGTGCTTATGGTTCGATTTTGGAGGAAGTGGCAAGACCATATCCTTGGCGGAGGTATGAGCACGTGGCTACAGTGGCTGGTTCTATGCTGATATATTTGTAGACGACGTTCTGATCGCCATCGCGTGGGCTCTAGCATTGTCCAATAGCGTGATTACCCACAAATGTAAGACCTTGTCCACATGACGACCGTGGAATGTTCAAAGGCCTGACGCTTATGGAGTTTGTGTCGCGATGTACACCGGATACCACGATGAAGATGTTCCGTATCCAGCAATTGACTTCCTTAATGCATTCAAGGTACGTTTGTAAAACGTGTGTGCTGCAACTTACCCATATACTGAGGGAATTATTTACAGCTTAAGTATGCGTTGAGTGTCGTGTACTCACCATGTATCGGCTTCGTCAAAGCATCCTTCTTGTGGACGCTTTACAAACTTCGTTCAAACAATGTTTGGATCAAGCGGTGTATCCTCGGCCTCCAAGCGATCAACACCATTTTCATCGTTGCTTTCACGATACTTGCTGTAATACCCTGCTGGCCGATAGCGAAGAACTGGCAACCCGACCTGATTGGGGGTTGCTACGATCCTCTAGATTACATCCTGGCCAACATCTCGATCGTACTTATCACTGATGTCCTAGTTCTTCTGTAAGACTTTCTCGCATGCACCAGACAACCGATGCTGACATTGCACCAGAATTCCGACATGGATAATCTGGGACTTGCAAATGCCACTCAAGCGCAAGATTGTTACAGTATCGTTTCTCTCTCTCGGTCTCATCGTAATAGCAATCGGCGCCGTGCGATTCGTTTGGCTCATCGACGCTTTCAAAAGCAAAACAAAAAGCTACAGTGTCAAAGCGTCCTACTCTGCAATCGAGTCTAGTGTCGCTATCATTGGAACCTCGGGGCCAACTATTAAATACATACTGTCACGCTTCGTACCCTGGCTCCGTCCTTCATTTGAGCGCTCGATCGCGAACAAGAACTCATACGACGCCTATGGGAACCACTCGGATGTTGCTGCTAGGCGAGCGAGGTCACATTACGGGACGAAAAGTGGATATGATGATTTGGATATGGTGAGCGTTCACCATGAACAGTTCGAGATGAAGAGCGGTTGGCAAAAGAAGAGGGGGCGGGATGACGACGCAAGAAGCGATGAGCAGCACATCACCGGCGAAGGTCTCGGCATCAACAAGACAGTGGAATGGATGGTAGACACGAAAGAGCGCTCGCATATTAGCAAAACAGTCTCGGATGAACCAAATGTCGCTAACGACAAGCCTGCGACAAGTCCCGCACAAATCATTTAGGCTGGAGGTGTGTTGGGGCAGCAAGAATTTTACATACATGGCGAGTTGTGCTATGAGTATAGTTTTGATCCAACGATTTGCCTAATTGCACGTTTGTTGAAGAAGCGAATTTGCGATGTGAAATGAGTCTGCTGTTGGGCGGCGTTCGGCCGCAGCTGACCCGCGCTCGCTGCCGGTCTTGTTTCCGGATCTTGGGGCGCGGTATACCCGATTCGGCGACTTCCCCTCAATCTCAATTGCCTGGCCCGCGGTTGGCCGAGCCATAAGACGGTATCTCCACCGATACTGGGCGTCGCAGATATCTGAACAATGTCGCGAATTGATGGAGCCGAAGTAGCAAAGCACAGCAGCAAGAAGGACTGCTGGATAGTGTTGGATTCAAAAGCATATGATGTGACAAACTTCCTGGCGGACCACCCAGGTGGCGCACCGATCATCTTGAAGAATGCCGGGTCGGTGAGTACAATGACGCGGCTCAAAGATCAAGAGCTGATGTTAGACAGGATGCGACAGAAGAGTTCAAAAAATACCACCCGTTGAGTTATCTGGAGGATTATCTGCCTAAAGATGCCTTCCTCGGTCCCGTCGACCCCAACACGTTTGGTCAGCTACGCCAGATCAAGAGCGAAGAGTCGACGAAGCCGTCTGACACCGATCCAAACTCCAAGGAAATCCCACATGTGAGCCTTTGCGTCTCCACGACCGACTTTGAGGCAGCGGCAAAGGCTGTCATGCCTCACAAGTCGTATGTCTATGCGTCCGGTTCTGCAAACACTGGCGCGTCGATCAGAGGCAACATAGATGACTGGGGGCGCATCAACTTCCGTCCGCGTGTAATGCGCAATGTCGGCGATGTTGATACGCGCCGCAAGATATTCGGACATAGCTCCCCATACCCATTCTACATCTCGCCTATGGGAACAATGGGCGCCATCCACGAAGCTGCCGAGCCAGAGATGATCCGAGGCGCAGTGCGCAAGGGCATTCACAAGGTCGTCAGTACTGCAAGTTCGAAGAGCAGCGAGCAGATCATGCAGAGCTACAAAGATGAGCAGCAGAGGCTTGGTAACAACAGCACAACGCAATTGTTTTACCAATACTACATGCCTGTCGACCGCAATAAGGCCATCGAACTTATGCGCATCGTCAAGCGCTGCGGTTATAATGGCCTCTGGATAACAGTCGACACGCCCGTTCTTGGAAAGCGAACAGCGGATCGCTATCTCCAGGCTGAGGAGGCGCTAGCAGTCGGGCTCGCAGAAGAAAGTACAGCGGAATGGGAGACCGGCGGCGACAACGCTTTCGCACCCGCTATGGGCGGACGGCCAGTTCAGGGTCAGTTGAGCCCACATACGACCTGGGAAGATCTCGAGTGGATTCGCAAAGAGTGGGATGGCCCAATCGTGCTGAAGGGCGTGCAGTGTGCAGATGACGCGAAGCTTGCGATGGAGTATGGCTGTGATGGGATTCTGCTAAGCAACCATGGTGGCAGGCAATTGCACACAGCACCCAGTGCGCTCATGACGCTGCTGGAGATTCGAACGTACTGTCCAGAAGTATTGGGGAAGCTGGAAGTTTTCCTCGATGGCGGTCTGAGAGACGGAAACGATGTGCTAAAAGCGTTGTGTCTGGGTGCCACAGCCGTAGGCGTAGGAAGACCCTTCCTATACGCGCTTGGAGCGTATGGGTCGAAAGGCGTCGAGAGATGTGTTGACAGTAAGTTTGTTCATGTTTTAACCAGGGTAGTATACTGACGTGCGACAGTTCTTGCGGATGAGCTGCAGACGGGTATGCGGTTGTTGGGCATAACATCACTGGATCAGTGCAGACCTGATATGGTTAATGCGACACGTTTGCTAAACGAAATGTGGCGACCAGAGCAGCTGAGTCTGAAGAGCAAGCTGTGAAGGTAGGGTGTGTTGGTTACGTGGGTCATAGTTCCAAGTTTCAAGTTTTGCGAGCGAATGAAATGGAATTTTGAATGGACACAGCGTGCATTACCAGTCCAATTGATTCAAAGACTACACTTGCATGATTAATGGATCGTAGTCTGCCTTTCAGTGTTGTTACCGATGTCGCCGGCCCCGCCGCCCGCTGATGCAAAGTTTTCTTACCCCTCATGCCCCACCCCACCGATTCAGCAATTGGTATATATAATCATATTTTGACAATTTCTCCATCAAAGCAGTTATCCTGATGGGACA